ACCCTAAACCTTACCTTAAGTTAAATCGCGCTTCTGTCGGCGCGCTGTTGTCGGCGTGCTGTTGTGAGCACACTTTTGACATCGCGGTTTTAACGCCGCGGTGTTATCGCCGCACTTTTGACGTTCGCGGTTATGTCATGCCACGGAATAAATGTGCACTTACCTATTTCTACACTATAGGATCAGAATCTCCACTCTAAATAAATCTCTAAACTGGGGCAAATCAAGTAGCTACCAGCACTATATACTATATGTGGTTTGAGCTAGAGATAAGTATGCGGTCTAGTTCCAGGTAGTCCTTGACTTATGACTACACTTAGTGATCATCCAAAGTTACAATGGACCTACCTTGGGGCTACCTTGGAATGGGGATTTTACAGTATCCTTCCCCTGCCACGCCCACCAAGCCACGCCCAGTTTTAGTTTTTTTAAAAAATAAATTTCACCACTGGATCAGCCCATTTTAACATATATACTCATTTTAAGTGAGAGATGGGGTGGAATTATTTTTGTGTCATATCTTTTCTAAATTTTCCAGCCTTACTTTTTGCTCATATAAAAGATAAAAAGTTGATAGATTAGGAAAAACTAACTACCCAAAAATGGATATTTATTATCACAAACATCTGTAGAAATTGGATGGGGTGCAGATTAACACTGAAAACAAATGAAACAGGCATGACTGCCTGAAGCTAACCAGCAAATGGTTCCTGCTTTCCAACTCAGGCCAAAGTGTACAGTATCCAAAGGCAACTAAATTATTTTGATACATGAGAATCTTAGAAGCATATATCCCCATATGCAAAAAAATATAATAACTAAAAAATATATTTTCCACTCTTTTCTGACATCTAAAGTTTTCTGTTTGAGGCAATGCATTCACTGTAGCCAACAGAAAATCAGATGGACTAGAAACATGAAGTTTTATTTCTAGTCTAAATATAGGTCTTTCTTTAAAACTTAGCACATGGAAAAAGGTAATATATTTTGGACAATTTAGCTGTCACACAAAATGTTTTTGAGAGGCAGAAAAGAGGAATTCCCAGCATTTATTCCTCTAATGTAAAATGCAGCCTCTCTCTAAACATGTGATCCTTTGCCTAATTTCTCATGGTCCCTCTGAAAGAGGTCATTTCAAAGTACTACATTTTATGTTATCTCTCACAGAAAAGGAAAAAGGAAAAAGGAAAGGAAAGAGATATTGACACTCATTTTGTTATGCTCCTACCAGTGACGTGCGGTGAGGTTTATGGCTGGTGAGGCAGTCTTCTCCCCTGACATCTCACTGTCTAAAGCACTTTCTTTCCTTTGCCCAGAGGTTACAGCCCACTTGAGCTGCCCACCTCTGGACAAAAGAAAGAAAGCGGCTTTTGTCCGCCCCGCTGCTATGTCCGATATAGAGGCGGCTGGCAGGCTGCCCTCCCTGCGTCTCCAACTCCTACCTCTTTCCCTCTCTTCATTCTCTTGAGTGAAGAAACAAACACACGCACATGCACACGCACACACACACACACACATTACTTACAATTACTTACAAATTAGATTAATTTTGAATTCCTCCCCCTCCCTCTGACCCACATACCTTTTCCAGCTGTTTCACAATCACAGAGGATTTCAACCCTGCTCTTGCCTGCCATGATGAAAATGTAAAAATGTAAAAGGAAAAAGGCCAGCCTGGGTTAGCTGCTGCCAGAGTCAGCCTGGGTTAGCTGCTGCCAGAGTCA